AATGTGTGAATATTATCACTTAAAAATACTCATTTATCATCAAAATATAATGAGCTAGATTGTTCAAATTTATAGTGTACAATGTACATAATATGATAGCTTTGAATGAAATTGTCACCTTTGTATAAATTTACATTACTAAACAGAGTTGCTTCAAATTTGCTAAACTTAATTTGATTTTCTTTAACATTTTTTTTATACTTTAGCTCTTTTGATACAGTCTAAAGTGAATAAATCTATTAAAAAAAATTTGCTTCTAAGACCTAGATACATGTACGTTTTAGGAGGAATTCCGCCAAACTGAAATTTATTTCATGTATCCTTTTTGTTTTTTCCACATTTCTATAAAGCATGGATGATGTAAATCATAATTATTTGTATCAAACAAATGTACGTAAACATAATTATGTTTACAAATTTACTATACACACATTTAATATCATAAATGAAACTGTCTGTGTCCACATACCAGAGACTAAGGTTTTTAGCTCCAAAGATCTTAGGAAATTTGGCTAAGTTATAGGACTGTTAAACCTATATTAAATGATTGGCTTATTAAATGTAACTTTAGCTTTACCTAAAGGGACAAAAATTAGACCATTGGTAGTTTTTATTATTTAAATAAGTCCATTTAATAATATAATAATATATCCATAATAAAAAAATAAATTATTTTTCATTTCAAATTTATTTATTTTATATACCTATAAATATATTTGAAATAGATTCTTTAAGTTTTTATTAGTTTATTTGGAATACGTTTTAGTATAAATATGAATTGAATGTATAAGCTATAAGCCTTGAATGTTTTTTTTTATAAATTTATAATGAATATATTTTGTCCATATATTTAATATATTATTTGAATGTAATCATCTTATATTTCTATTACATTTGTTTTACATTACAATAAGTATGTTAAATATACCTTTCGAAAGCATGATATTCATATTTTTGAAACATAAACAATTAGATTTATTATTATATATAAATGATAATACATTTCAAATATATTGAAACAAGGTTTAGTGTGTTTGAAATATATTTAAATTATATTAATTCTCTATTTACGATATACGTTGAGCATTTTAAATATTTTACAACATACTTTATTTACCTCAGCAATTTTTTAAGATCAGTGCTGTTTTTTTATCGATAATGACATGTTCTAAAAAACTACCACTGTCAGGAACTTTCATCATTATTGTCATTTCCAATACAACAACATGTTTAACGTATATAACATGAGCACATATTTAGATAATAAAAAAGTACGAAATGGTGCAATATATGTTGCCTTTCTGGGATGCAATATGGGAAACTAGGGCTTCCAAAGTCAAAGGTGCCTCACTATCTACAATTTTCAATTTATTTAATTTCCAAAAGTAATATATCCAACGGTTTTCTCTATCGTATATCATTTACTTTCTTATGCTCATACCATCGGAAACAAAATTTAAATGTCTCAAGCTTTTATCAGATATTGCATTATATTTTTAATATATCGAGATTTATAAAAAAATTAATAGTATAGCCAGACACCGTCGGCGACCCGGATAACCTGAACAGTTGACTGCAGAGTCTCGGTGTTCAATGATACCGTCACCCTGTACCACTCAGGCGCTACCCTTGGGGCGATCCGAGTAAAGAGGTCGAGAGGAAAGCTCACAATCATCAGTAGTGTGACCTCCAAAAAAAAAAAAAAAAAAAAAAAAAAAAAAAAAAAAAAAAAAAAAAAAACAACAAGGTTTAGCTTACCTTAAGGTCACAAAAAACAACTCTAGGACTTCGGTAGGCCAAATAATAACCAAAATGTACGGTACTTAAAAACAGACAATTTAATTTTCAAATAATAGCCTCATTTTTATCACACACAACAACACAAACTTAACCTAACTCGGAGACTCCGAAACAAACCAGGATTAATTTTAATCACCCATTTAGGGTAGGCTACTTTAAGAAGAATTTAAAAAGGCTATTTGCAAAATAGCAGAATTATTGAGAAATTAAAAATCTATTAATCAGGTTGAAGTTAAAACAATTTATCAAAAGAGTGTTAATTTAATAAGTGAATAAAACTATAAAATCTGGCCGATTTCATGGACCAAGAGAATACATTTTAAAATTCGAGTAAAAAAAAAATATAAATTTAAGTTAAATTCTAATGAAAAGAAATTTGGGGATCCCCTATTAATTGGTTAGGCTAGCCGATTACATTTTAAGTTAAAATAAAAAAAAATTCTTAGCTGATACAGTCCAAGGGGCGCCTGAGTTCTGCGCCGGTACAAGACCGGAGCAGCCGAGCCATGACGGTTGGTAGGCCTATGCCAAATGTAGAGGGAAGAGCAGTCCATCCCACAAACCAGCGGTAGACCCACACCCTAGATAACATTATACCCAAAACTGAATAGTAAAAACCCAAGCCTGCTCGCGGCGGAGGGATATTAGAGCAGTGTGAATCCCAAACAAAAGACTCAAGTACCAGATCTTGATTTGGAAGTTTAATATTGAAATAGAGAATAGTCACAAACAGGAGCAATAAAGAACATTTAATAAAATACTAATAAATCTAGCAGAAATTACTTAAAAGCACGAGAACTACATTATTAAGAGCAGAAGGCGGAACGAACAACTCTTGGCGTCCCCCACGGCCAACGAAATAAACAGATCGACGACTCACACATGTACTATAACAAATCCTGGTTGGTATACTATAAAAAATGTGACAGCAAACTGTCACACTAGTGACTGCGGACCGTGGACTGGAGAACTTTTTTACATTGAGTGTGGTTCTGGAACTTCCCTTCCATGCAGAAAATGCAAGAATGAAAGGAAGTTCGTTCTTCATAGGAAGAAAGCGCCTGTGTCGTCGAAAGTGTACTCCTATCTAAAAGTCCTATCCCTCCCATATCCTGGGTTAGATGATTTGGAAGAGCTAGCACCTACAAGAAGGTGTGCCTTTTCCCTAGCTTTAATCTGGTTCTTAACTAAAGTGCATAATGTTTGCACATCTAAGGAGTTATTAACATTAGTTATACAATTCTTAACTCATATTTACTAATTAATAAGACACTTAAAACTAAACTTTATTCAACTAACTAAATTTATATACCCGCTTCCACAATTAAGCTTCTTACTGGACAAGAAAAAACTCAATCATCACCTATAATTTCGCGTCACGATGGTAGCAGAGCGTGGTTTAGTACCACAGGACTGCAGCTCTGGCTACGTTTACATTAGCTTCGCCTCTAACGAGTGTGAAGTTAATATCTCCGCAAAGGCGTGAAGCTTTCACTATGTCCGGTTCTAAGCCAAGTAGGTAGGCTTGTGCGAAAAACTCATCAGTTTTTGGTATCAACCTCGTTCTAGATTCTCAATCCTCGACCTACTGACATCAACCAGTCAGTCCTCGACCTACTGGCCGGGATCAGTCCTCGACCTACTGGCCGGGATCAGTCCTCGACCTACTGACCACAATCAGTCCTCGACCTACTTACCTCAATCGGTCCTCAACCTACTGACCAAGATCTAGATTTTCAGTCCTCGACCATGTCCTAAATTTTATTCGGATCAGTGGGTCGCCCCACCCCGGAATAGGGAGGGGGGCCTCAACTGCGGGTTTATAAGACTATCGGTTCAAGCTGCAAAAGCACAGTTTGCTTTGCGCTCACATCCGCTGCACACCTTCTTGGTAAGTGCTACTGGTTTCTCTTTTTACATCTACTCACAACTTTTTACACTTTGACAATACTTTACACTCTGCTCACAGACGTACACACTTACTTATTGACAGGATAAGAAATAACAAGAGCTATTGGTTGGGGGTTTTTTTTAATTGAAAAGTTCAAGTAAAAAATCGTCCTCTAACGACACATAGCCAGATGAACTACTAGCTGAAGCTTCAGCTAGTAGTCCATCTAGACTATCTTCGTCAGAGGATATATTGATAATTTCTGGTGAAGGTTGAGGTGGCGGTGGGGTTTGCCGCGACGGCTGCGGCGTGAGTGGTTCCTCAACCACATCCTCAGGCGGTGGCGGCGATGTTTGCCGCGACGGCTGCGGCGTGAGTGGTAGAGGAGGCGGTGGCGGCGGGGTATGCCAAGATGTTGATTGCTGTGGCGACAGTGGAGCTGGTGGAAATAGCAGCAGCGGCGACAGCGGTGGAACTGACCCCAGCGGCAGCGGTGACGGCGCGGTTGCTGCAAGCGGCAGCGGTGCCGGCGGAGGCGTAAATCTCCGACGCACAGCTGGAATGCCACTTACGACCGCTGTAGGTTTTCTCTTTCTGCCGAGTTCCACCTCGTATCGCTGGGTCGTCTCGCAGCGCATCACTGCTGCCATCAATCCCGCTGAAATATATAAATATGTTTATACAACTTACTCTGACTGGCTATATAGACACTGTTGCACTTGACTAGTGTATATTTTTAAGTTGTCGTTACACTTGATAAGCTTAGTAGTTTGTAACCATACTCCCCATAAGCTTTTAAGATAAGTCACTCACTCATAAACCTTACACTTGAAATTAATTGTTATAACAAGAAACCTGGCACAAAACCGTCCATTGTTTCCCTTGTGTTTATGCAAGTGTTGTATTTCTGAGTCTGGTTTTATTAACTATAATTTCCATACTACAGTACTCGTTTATACATAGGGATTCATATATTTATTGTATTGGCACTATCAACTATTGACGTTCCGTTAAAACCCGTTTTATCAAAAGTTTAGTAAAGATATATTTGTTTTATCGACAATGTGTTATAAACAAATACGTTTCAGATTGACTTTGTATACGTGAACCATACTCCTAACAAATGTTACTTTAGAGACACTCGTAGATTGATTATATTAGTCAACGTGATCCAATAATTTCATTATTTGCATTCACTACACAAACGTATTTTTAGTAATATATTTTGACATACAAAGTGGTTTACATTTTGAACATGTGTACATGAACCTGCTAACGACACATAGCCAGATGAACTACTAGCTGAAGCTTAAGCTAATAGTCCATCTAGACTATCTTTGTCAGAGGATATATTGATAATTTCTGGTGACGGTTTATGTGGCGGTGGGGTTTGCCGCGACGGCTGCGGCGTGAGTGGTAGAGGAGGTGGTGGCGGCGGGGTATGCCAAGATGTTGATGGCTGTGGCGACAGTGGAGCTGGTGGATATAGCAGCATCGGCGACAGCGGTGGAACTGACTCCAGCGGCAGCGGTGACGGCGTGGTTGCTGCAAACGGCAGCGGTGACGACGTGTTTGCTGCAAGCGGCAACGGTGCCGGCGGAGGCGTAAATCTCCGACGCACAGCTGGAATGCCACTTACGACCGCTGTAGGTTTTCTCTTTCTGCCGAGTTGCACCTCGTATCTCTGGGTCGTCTCGCAGCGCATCACTGCTGCCATCAATCCCGCTGAAATATATAAATATGTTTATACAACTTACTCTGACTGGCTATATAGACACTGTTGCACTTGACTAGTGTATATTTTTAAGTTGTCGTTACACTTGACAAGCTTAGTAGTTTGTAATCATACTCCCCAAGAGCTTTTAAGATAACTAAAAGTCACTCACTCATAAACCGTACACTTGAAATTAATTGTTATAACAAGAAACCTTGCACAAAACAGTCCATTGTTTCATAAATTACCCTTGTGTTTATGCAAGTGTTGTATTTCTGAGTCTGGTTTTATTTCATATAATTTCCATACTACAGTACTCGTTTATACATAGAGATTCATATATTTATTGTATTGGCACTATCAACTATTGACGTTCCGTTAAAACCCGTTTTATCAAAAGTTTAGTAAAGAGATATTTGTTTTATCGACAATGTGTTATAAACAAATACGTTTCAGATTGACTTTGTATACGTGAACCATACTCCTAACAAATGTTACTTTAGAGACACTCGTAGATTGATTATATTAGTCAACGTGATCCAATAATTTCATTATTTGCATTCACTACACAAACATATGTTTAGTAATATATTTGTTTTATTGACATACAAGGTGGTGTACATTTTGGATTTACTTTAAACATGTGTACATGAACCTGCTAACAATTATACAAACTTTAAGGGGACTCGTGTATTTATTATCAACATTCAATTTTATAAATCCCTATAACATTCGTTAAAGTAAATACTGACTTTTTAGTTAGGATCAAATTTGTTTGATCAACATAGTATAATACTGTTTAAAATCTATATTTGTTTTACATAAGTCTAACAGTTGTTCGTACAAGTTATACATAATGTATTTTACTACCATATGCTGGCAGACGATTATCTTGACTATACAGTAGTTATGTTCTCTACTTGAACAGGTACAATTTGTAAACACAACTACTTTACTACTTTTGTATAACTTTACAATATATCACATTAGTCAATCCAACTGACCGTCACAAAGTACTACCCGTTGTCCTAAATTATATAAACCCAGTCTATAATCAACTAACTCTATTGTGGTTTTTATTTACAGTATAATGTCAGACTTCAAGTCAAAATTGAACAATTTGGAAGTAAGCAGAGGTCCGCCGAGGGCAGCTATATCAGATTTGATAGATCGAGCTGGTTATCCAACCACTGGTGCGAGGCTACATTCTCACCGGGAGTACGGCACAAGTGTGATTCTAGACATAATATTTGACAGGACGCCACACATTGTGTTTCTACCGAAACGCTTCGCTTTGAACCTGACTCAAGCTGAGATAGACACATCGCAGCTGGCGGGTACAAAGTTAAATGTACCGAGAAGACCGGAAGGTCCCCTAATGTTCAGATTTTTCAATAAATACTCTAAATCATAATTTTGTTTATTTACTAACCTGGAGTATAATTGGAGACCACCTCGGTGATCTCGTACGATCTTGACTCCTTAACCGTGTGGTGGGCTCGTAGATCTCTCAACGCTGCAATCGCCTCCTCCTCGTTGTCAAATTTAAATAGTACCGCAAACCGCGACATGATGTGACTGACTGCATATTCTTCTCTACATGCATTTATACCCAATCCACACTAAGGGGTTTACCCTGACTTCGCAAGTTGGTCACCTAATTTTACCTGGTTGCATTAAGTGCAGTCGGTCACCTACATATTGCAATATACACCTTGTGACCCAGTGCACTCGGTCACAGAGACAATGACGACCACATGTCGGCCCAGACACTGAACGCTCGCAAGCCAGACAAGGTCGGCAGCGTGCACCGTACAAGTCGCCGTTTCATACTTTGTTTCTCAGGCACTGCAAGTACAAAAGTAGTGTTAGTAGTAGTTAAGATAGAGGATTATATATCTACTGGTCGCAGAATGTATTAGTCTCTTCTGTTACCTGTCAAGAGCGTTCGACTGTGTACACCATGATATACTGATTCAGAAGTTGTGGTTTTATGGTATCAATTTTATCGTACAAAATTTTATGGTTTTAATTGTTGGTTTAATTTCTATCCAACAGACCACAGTGTATAAATTTGCAGTCACTGGGGATTAAGTCTGATTATAGATTAATTACAGATGGTGTACCTCAAGGGTTCATTCTTTCGCCCTTACTCTTCTTGGTTTTAACTTTTTAAGTATGGGTACAGCGCAAACACAAAAATGGGGTTTTGGATAACATATTTTTTAAAGTTTTGTGTTTATTTCAAATGAAACAGTTAAATTACCTTCCTCTTTTCATTATTCAGTGAGACTGGAGCTTTTTTAAGCCTCTCCTTTTTGCTTTTGCAACAGTAAAAGCGTCGTCTAGGCTGTTGATCTCCTTCCGAGCCAGGTCATAGAGGTTCAAACCAGTCATTTGAACCAGGGAACTAAACCGAATCAGATGGTGTGGATTGCTGAGTTGGTGGGCTACACGGGCTCATGAATCCATCTAATGGTTCAGGAACATCCTCTCTCGAACCAGATGGTGTGGATTGCAGAGTTGGTGGGCTACACGGGTTCATGAATCCATCGGATGATTCATGAGCATCCTCTCTTGAACCAGATGGTGTGGATTGCAGAGTTGGTGGGCTACACGGGCTCATCAATCTATCTGATGGTTCAGTAAAAATCCTCTCTCGAACCAGATGGTGTGGATTGCAGAGTTGGTGGGCTACACGGGTTCATGAATCCATCGGATGGTTCATGAGCATCCTCTCTTGAACGAGATGGTGTGGATTACAGAGTTGGTGGGCTACACGGGTTCATGAATCCATCGGATGGTTCATGAGCATCCTCTCTCGAACCAGATGGTGTGGATTGCAGAGTTGGTGGGCTACACGGGTTCATGAATCCATCGGATGGTTCATGAGCATCCTCTCTCGAACCAGATGGTGTGGATTACAGAGTTGGTGGGCTACACGGGTTCATGAATCCATCGGATGGTTCATGAGCATCCTCTCTCGAACCAGATGGTGTGGATTGCAGAGTTGGTCGGCTACACGGGCTCGTGAATCCTCCTGGTTCTGATGGTTCCGAGAATGTTCCAACAACAGAAGTTACTGTAATAAGAATAAAGAATAATCTACTGTCCAAACTAAGATTTAAAAGTTTGGCATATTTCTCTAGGGTTTCACAAACAAACCAGCTACACTGTAAATAAATAATAAATAAATAACGTTTTTATTAGCCAGCGTATATCAGATCAAAGATCTGTTTTACATTAAAACTTTTGTCAACTATAACAAATTAAATTAAATTAAAATACAAGTTCCTTAAAGAGTAAAACTACCGATTGTAATACTGAATAATAAAATTTCAATCTGTCTGCACTAGTAGGACAATTTTTGTTACTTCTTATAGTAGAGGTAAAAGAGACCTCCCCCTCCCCTCCTCTTCTTTTACCCTGAGGGGTAAAAGAACAATCCTTATCTCTAGTAGGACTCATCGCCCCAGTGACTTTCAAAGATGCCCAGAAACTTTTTGGATCATTACATTGCACATACTTTTCAAAGAAACGTTCTTTTTTATTTCTTAAAGCTACATTAATCTTATATTCTTGCTTTACAGTATGCCACTCTTGTTTCACTGTTCCTTTGATTTAAAAAGTATATTCTTGTAATTGTTAGCAATGCAATATTTTTTCTCTATCCATGGAGCTTTCTTCTTTGTGACTCGCTTCCTTACAACCGGTGCACATAAATCATAGATAAAAAGTATTTTCTCATTTATGGCCAGTACTACGTCATTTACACTTTCAAGAGATGAAATGCAGTCCCAATCAATTGCAGATGCGAGTTCAAGGAACTCTTCAGCTTTAGATCTCTAAGTGCTCAGATCGCCTAGCTTTCCTATAATGTGTGTGTGTAGACTCATTATATTTTTTTTTATCTTTAAGGTTTTACAAGTTAAATATTTTACAGAAGATGACATTTTGCGGCTGATTCGATAAAAATTATTGGTTCATAACCATACAAATATTTTATATAATTATTAAATACTATACTACTATTATTCTCGAAATCACTGATCATTCTCGCTAGCAATCTTCCGTTTCAATTCTGCCAGATGCTTTGTTTGCAGGACAGTGAGGTCCGCTCCAGCAAGGCTGACTCGTAGTTGCCAAACCTCTTGATTGAAGAGACCTTGGAACAATAGTGAAATTTGATGTGCTATGTGATCTTATCCTTCTTTGTATTCTGTAAAAAAGTAATATAAAGACAAAATATATCGTTTTAAACAATTGACATAATAAATATTTCAAAATTAATTATTTCATTAGTAAAATTATGTTATGTAATGATTATGTAATGTTAAATTTATATATTACATTATGTACAATACTTTATTTATATATATTTATTCACATAAATTGTCAATAATATTGCTGATATTACTTTAAAATATTAATCAAATTCTGTTAGTTCATTTTTACAACCACTATTAAACTAAAACAACTTATGATCTATATATAACAATAACTATTAACTATAATTGTAATATTTTTAAGGTGAATGTAAAAATTTTTTTGTAAAGCATAAACAAAAAGATATCTATCCATCTATTGGATTCAGGTTTAATAGGTAAGAAAACCAAATTTTAAATTAAATCTGAAACATCATTTGAAATTGTCATTAAATTATTAGTAAAATATAATTATATATGAAAAAAGCCCATATAATGAAAAAAAAAATTAATGTACCTTCATCGTGGTAAGGGCATAGTGGATAGTCTATGTGACCGGTATTGTAAGGATATTTTAAATCTACTTCTAAAATGAAACCTGTACCATTGGAGATGGTGTTCATTTCAAATGTTGATGGTAGACAAGACACTTAAAGGGGTTTTCTCCCATGTGGGTCTTAATGTGTCTTTGTATGCAGCCTTTTCTTTTAAAGTTTTTTTTCCAATAGTCACATTCATAAGGTCTTTTATCGGTATGCACAACAAAATGGCTCTTCAAATCTTCTTTTGTTTTAAATGCTTTTTTACAAGTAGAACATAAAACCAGTTTTATAAAAAACATTTCCAAACTCATGAAGATATTTTTAAAAATTATTGTATTTTTCATGTGGATAAAAATCCTAGTACGAGTGTGAATTTAAAATTAGGTGTATTTCATTGTTTCAGTTGCAAGGCAGGTGGTTCTATTACACAACTGTTTAATAAAATTAACAAATGAATCATTGTACAACATTTTCTTTTGGTTTCCAAGAATTCCACTTCGTATGATCAAACCCTAACCATTTTACAAATAAAAAAGGGTTGTAACAGGGGATGAGCTCATTCACTTGCAACCCGCGAATGTTCAGGTTCTTACGAAGTAGGTTTTTTTTTTACAATAAACAAATCTAATTGACTCAATTGGAAAGCATTCCTACTAAATTACTAAGACATCCCAAAATATGTTAATTAAAAATACACACAATAAAAAATAACAATACACACAATAAAAATACACAATACTTAGTACTCTGCTAAAATGATAATAAATTGGTTTAAATTCCTATCACACCAATTAACATGAAAACTAAAAATCTCAATACAAATACACACACAATAATACTCCACAATACCATGGATAGTTCATTAAAATCCTTTATACCTTTATTTAAGAAAAACACATAAGTTAAATGGCAACAGAACGTAAATACAATGCAATACAAGGGTACGCCTTGTAGAAAGGTTGAGTTTAAGGGCCTGCTTGTCCAAAGTACCCTGGAATGTTGACATCCTGGAACTCACCTTCGGCGTATTCTGGTTGTAGCATCCGGAATTTCAGTTCTCTCCCATTGGGACAGACTGTATTTCCTAGTCCAGCTAAGATTGTGCTCAATGATGTGGGTATCTCGTTCTCAAACTGTTTTACTTTGAATAAAAATTCTTTCTCATCATGAGAAAGGCCTCTGAAATTTAACTGCTGGACAACTAACATACGAGCGTACGCATAGACTGCGCAGTAGTATGCTAGTACCGACTCAGGAACGCGTTTTGCAAACCCAGTCTGATGGGAGACGCAGTATCCGTGAATCGTTGATGCTAAAAGATCCAAACCTTCGAAACCGGAGTGTATTTCTTGCTGGTCCGGCTCGGGAGCCAAGGCTTGGGACTCGTCGGTAAAGAAGCTCTCTGAGTAGAGAGGATCGTTCTTTTCCTCCGACGCTACTTTACTGAGATGCTGAGGCTTGGGCACCTCTGTGAGAACGTTTTCTTGCGGCGGCTTCCTGAATGAGTTATTGCCACCTCCGCGTTGGCGCTGACTTCTAGGTCGGCTGCGGTTGTTACCTCTCGGGGGGGGGGGGGGGGGGGGCCGTAGCCTCCTCTAGGCTACGAGCACACGAGTGCACACGAAGCACACGAAGTTCGGCACACGAGTGTTTATACTTTTAATAACACAATTGTTTTTAAAATCTCACATTGCTAAAATACCATATTGATTTCTTTCATATTCTACTTCTTCTTAATACTTATTTACTGGTCGTGGCTCGTCCAGCTAGCGGTAGGTCCTGAGTCTTCATGACTTTCCATACCATACTTCCTTTCATACTTTC